AATATTTTCAATCCAATAATCATTAAAATTAACTAAAAAAAGCTTAATTGCTTCTTTCATAGGATGATTATTTTGTTTTCAATAAAATATATCTGATAAAAATGCTAATAGAGCTTTGTTGTAATTTTTATGCTTCCATCTTAAAGCAAAAGTCCAAATACAGAAAATTGGTTTAAGATATTTGTCAAATAATCCTGATTGAAATAATACAGCATATATATCAAGTACTGCTAAAATAATATTATCTAAAAGATCAATTATTGCTTGATATTCAGTAAATTTGCATAAAGCTCTAAATTTTTTTATTATTAAATTTCTAATTTTAATCTATGCACTATATACTAATTCCAAAAGTAAATTTATTCTCCATAGTCTTGGCTTTTTAGCAAATTTTTTATGTAATCTAAATACATTATAAAATAATTTTTTAAAGAAGCTATAATAAATTTTTATAACTTGCTCTCTGCTATTAAGACTAACATGTAGTCCAAGAATAGGAACAAATGAAATTACTTCAGATAGAATCTGTGCTTTTAAATCATCTTTATACAAATAAGTAATAGCTCTTCTAATAAATAATTGTTCTGGCCAATTTGCAATTACTGGAGTAATATAATTATTTAAATAATTTGTTTTTTTATTATATTTAAGTATTATATTTAAAATTTCTAAATAATCTTGCATAGAATGAAGAGGCTGTTCTTTAATTACAATTAATATTGTTTTTTTCATTTTTCATTTTTCTTTTCTTTCTGCAATAGCATTATCATAACAATGTATAGTAAGTTGATCAATATGATTAAATTCAAAACTTCAAGATTGCTTTGTTTTAGCCCATTATATTTTACGTTGTATATAAGAAAGATCAAAAAGCCCTTGATATATATTAATAAGTTGCTCACAAATAATTGATGCATTAATATTTACTAGATTATGAACTAATATATCATTAAAATTTACTGGTACTGGTCCACATTGCTGAATTTTTTTGCACATACTTGTTGCTAAATGTGCTGCTCCTGATAAATTAGTATCATTTGGTCTTTTTTTTTCATGAATATTATGATAATCATCTATATTATATATATAAAGTGAATTTTTCTAAAAAATAAATTAAAATAATATATTAAAATATTTAAAAATAATATATAAAAATTTTAGTTATATAGCTTTATTTTAAATATTTAAAAAAATTTACTTACATTTTCAATAAAATATTCTTCAACTTTTGATAGATGTTGTAAAGTGATTTTTTTCTTATTATTATAAACTGTCTTATTAATAACAGAAATTTCAGTATTGCTTAAAGTATTAATTGTTTCACAAGATACTCTACAAGCTGCAAGATATAATCCAAGCTCCAATTTAAATTGATTAGCATGCATATTATGAAAACCAGCAATTAAATAAAGAATTACTACAACTTTTTTTTTAGCATCTTCTTGTAAATTTGAAGCCCAATTTAATGGTATTATAATTTTATATATTTCATCAAAAAATCCAATTAAATCAGAATCTGATTCTTCAAGCATTTTCTTAAATTATTAGGTTTAAGTACAAGAGTAGCTGATTTTTTTCATTGCTTATTATATATTATAGTTGTCATTTTTTTATTTTATTTGCAAGAGATAATTGTAGTGATAGATCTAAAAATAAATAAATTATAAATTATAAATTTTCTTTTTCTTTTTATTATCAAATTTGCTTATTTATACTGTATAAATTATAAATAAAATTTTATATAATTATTATAATTTTTGAAATAGTTAAAAATTGTAAATAAAGTTTTTTTCTAACAAATACTTAAATATTTAACACTTGATTACCTTAGCATGTTGATTAAAGATTGATTCCAATTTTGTAATAGTTTAAATTATTATTAAACAATAGTAATATAAATTGGTTATATTCAATTAATCCTCGATCACTATATCAAGATCATAGGAGAATTAATTAATAATACCTTAACTATATGTGAATAAGTGGAAACTTCGTTTTGTTAATTTCCAATGAATCAAAATATTATTATTACTAACATACTAAAGTAATCAAGTATCCAAGTATTTGAATATTTGGGGTTTTTGTCTTGAAAATAACTTTATGGTATTATGTACTATAAGATCATTTTTAAGGCAAAAACCTATTTGTTAAAAAATATTATTTGCAATTTTCAACTATTTCCAAAACTATAATAAATAAAATTTAAATATTTACCAATAAAATTATTATTTTCAATAATATTATTTAAATCAATATTATTTTGGAAATTTTTTCTATAATTGCTTCAAGCA